CGGCTAATAATTCCATTTGTATGAAATTTAACGACTGACAGTACAATAGGTAGTCCATTATAGTTTTTATTTGTAATATAGAGGAAGGATAAAGTTTATTCGACAGACAATGGTATAATCACGATGTGCCAAGGGATGTGTGAATAACAATGTAGAAGATTTGTTAAAGCACACCAGAAAACATAGGTTCAACAAACATAATTTATCCTTTTTATCCTTTTATTCTATACCTATACACCGTTATGGCATATTACATTATCCATATTTCCTCCTTTTTCCGTTAACCAGCAATTCATTTTCCATATCCATTTTTTGTGTTTTTTTCTCATAGCGAGGAAGAATCTTACATATTTGGTGTAGAAATGATTTTACCGTCACACATCCGACCACTTGGAATATGTTATCGCCCTTCAATTTGTAAGAACGTATCGAATTGCACTGTCAGTTGTGTTGTGATTTTATGTGAAGCCAGTTTAGAGAGCCACAAAAATTCAATTTGCATTTTTATGATTTCTGATACATTAGTCCTCAGAAATATTAAATTTAAAGAAGGTTTCGTACGTCTGGTAAAAATTAGAATACATGGCAAAGAATCAAATCGAAATTATGAATTTACCATATAGTGTCAGGTGATCGTTTTTTTAGAGATCTAATGACTTTCCTTTAAAAGATAGAGAAGATAGAATACCAGAATTTCATATAAAAACAGAGCAAAAGAACTTTTTTATTGAATTCATGGGAACTTTCAAGAGCAGACCTAAAGTTACTGCAGATCAATGTTAATATACATAGAAAATAGTTTCATTGACTACTTAGAAGTTCTCTATATAAAGTAACCGATTTTCACGAAACTTAGCACACATTATTCTAGACTTCATCCTCCGTTAAAATAAAATTGGTCGAAAATGTATATGGAAGCTATATCTTAATCTGAATCAATTTTTTTCCTTTGGCCAAGTCGATAATTTGGTACAAATTTCATCCAATTCGGATCATAAATGCTATCTTTACTTTGTTTATAATTTAACATGGACAGACGGACATAATACCCTGTACCACAGTGTGGTGATGGGTATAAAAATGGGCTAGAAACGTCAACATGGACGCATATTAAACTTTTACTACGAAGAAGTTTTTATTTATCAATTGCCACATTACAGTCATTGTGTTGGGAAAATAAACAGAAAAATACCGACAATTGACAGGGACCTTTATATGTGGGCTGTGTCAAATTATGGCCACAGGTCTTCGTATACAATGCCAGAAGTGACCGTAAAGTATTCCTATAGCTGACCAAAACCCCTTCAGATAAAATACCAGAAGTTCGTCTTATTTAAATTGTGAGTGTCTTCCTACAGAAGTAAATAAGGTCTTTCAGACGATTTTCTTATAGAAGCAGAAGATCGGAACATTTTATTTATGTGATCAGAAGCTTTTCCTATAAAAATCCAGAAGTCTTCGTATACAATGCCAGAAATGACCGTAAAGTATTCCTATAGCTGACCAAAACGCCTTCAGATAAAATACCAGAAGTTCGTCTTATTGAAGATCTGACTGTCTTCCTATAGAAGTACTGAAGGTCTTTCAGACGTTCTTCTTACAGAAGCAGAAGATCAGAACATTTTATTTATGTGATCAGAAGCTTTTCCTAAAGAAATCCAGAAGTCTTCCCATTAGGGATCACCAATTTCCTTTTTTGGACAACAAGGCATTTCACTTGTGGACTAAAATTGCTTCCTATTTGAGATCAGAAAATTCTACAGAAGATCAGGAGGTCCTCCTATAGAAGATCAAAAGGGATTCCTTTTAGAATCAGAAAATCATGCTATAGAAGGCTACTAGGTCTTTAATTTATAGCCTAGAAGGGATCAAAAGATTTTTCTACAGAGGATCAAGGGATCCTTCTACAGATGGATTGAGGATGTCCTACTATAGAAGATCACAAAGACTTCATATTTAAGAACAAAAAGTTGCCATAAGGCCTTCCTATGTTAGTCTAGGATGTAATACTATAGAATTGCAGAAGGATATCCTATAAAAAGCTCGTAAGTCGTTTCAGGAATGGCCAAGATGCTTTATTGAGTGCTTGATGTTCTTCAAATATATGATAAAGTCACAAACGCAGAAGGCTTTTTTTAATTTTGTCTTATAGAAGTAGATAAGACAAATTTCTATATAAGGCCAGAAAAATTATCATAGATATTCTCCCAGAAGGCCAGATAGTTTTCTGATATATTTAAAAGGTATTTTCAAAGAAGGTCATCCAATGGAAACTCTTGTTGTTAAATTATACTTTATGGAGAACCAGATGGATTTTTAATAGAAGGCCGGAAAGAATTCCAATAGAATACCAGCATGTATTACTATTGAATACCTTCAAATTCAGGCTTCTTATTGAATACCAGAATTTTTTCATATGTAAAATCTTCTTCAGAATTACATACCATAAAAATCAAGAGGTGTTGTGAGAGTAGTTCAAAAGGCCAGTTGAGATTATCAAAGAGTAGGTAGGTATATATGAGCAGCAGGATTTCGTATAGAAGTCCGGAATGTTATACTTTAGTAAGCTTTAAGGTCTTCCTTGGGAATATTTAGCTGTTTTTTATAGAATGCCTAAATCTCTTCAAATATAAGTTTTTCCCAAAGATGATACAAATTTCTGCCCATAGAAAATAGGCAGGAGGCCATCTGATAGAACGCTATCTGGGTTTTCACATAAGAAAGTTCTCTCGTTAATGTCTCATGGAATTTTTGAATTGAGAATGTAAACATTTCATAAAATAGAAGATCTCTTCATAAATGTTCAAAATTTCACAACATAGAATTCAAAAGGTGTTCTAAAAGTAGGTAGGAAGGCAAGTTTACATTCTCAAATAAGTAGATATTTATTTATCGTATGTCTTCCCTTAAGGGGACTCCTTAAGAATGTAGAATGTCCCTACAAAATTTCAAGTGTAAATCTCAAGAACTCATGAAGATATAGCCGATTTATTGTGTCAGCATTAAGTGACGGCTAAAGGGCTTCTCAAACTCTAAACGCGATTTTCTCTTTTGCGAATGGCGGGCATGATAACTCAAAAACTAATAACCCAATCGATTCCAAATTTTTGCACGTTTCTCTGTGAGTGTATAATTAATTAACTAGGATAAAGCCAATCGGTGAAGATCTTCCTTATTTTTTAACTTTGGTTTTGGTAAAAAAATTGGCGATTTTCCAAAAATATTATTTCAAAGGTCCGCCATTTTGTTAATTTTAGAGAGAAGTCAATAATCCTAGTTCATACGAGAGCCAGACATGTACTCTTTCTAACACGGTTGGAATTTTCGGATTCCGATGTTCCAGTGAGGTGTTATCATGCCCGCCATCAAAAATAAGGACTTCTCTTTAATTACAAAAAAACAACAACAAAACAACAACAGAAAATGTTTGTAAATTATTTTTCTTCCTTTTTAAATCTTCAAATATATATGTGCAAAGTTACAAACCTTAACTAGCATTGGTATTGATTTACCAGCCCATTGAAAACCTTGAAAAATTAAAATCGTGAATGGGTGGGTTCCCTTAATTCGAATATTTTCGAAGAAATTCGGTCAATTTTAGTGGTTGGCCAGAATATGTTTCACAAAATGTTAGTTAACCTTTTGTTGAAGGTCAGAACGATTCTCGGAAATTTACATAAGGAATTCTTATAGAAGACCAGAATCAAAAATTATCAATATTGGTCAACTTCTTACGTTAGCCCACATATAACGGAAACCCCACATTATTCGGTATTTTTGGGGTAGTTGGGCACATTTATAATCAAACCTTTAATTTGGTTCTCATTGGATGTCAAATCCTCCTACCAGTAAGTAAAAAGTATCAGTCGGTGTTTCCGATAGATATATACCCTCAGCGAATGTTTTGGAGAGGTCTTTGATATGTACTATTCGCTTTATATAAGATGTATGTTTTTATCATAGAGGTTTTGGTTTTAAGGTTGATCACGTCAGTTTTTCAATTCACGTGCTTTATAGCTTTATAAAATAAAGTAATTACCAAAAGGGTAGGGCCGGCGGAACCCACCTTCGGTCTTGTTATAGGTTTCGTAAAGATAATACGTTGTGCAAAGGTTGGTTCAAATCGGACATTCCATTCGCCTGATATTTGATTTATAAATATTAAAAATGTTGACCATTTGTGGGGGAGTTATCAAAAGGAATGGACCAATGGGCCCCATCTTCGGACTTGATCTTGACTTGGTAAATATAACAGGTTGTACAATAGTCCGTTCACATGATATTATAAAACTAACTTTTAGCTCACTTTTGACTATTTAGTTGGGGAGGTACCAAAATTAATGGACCGATGTTCTCCATTTTCGTACTTGAACGAATTTTGGAAGAAGTATTGCGAACTTTAAGAGCTGACAAAGGTTTAGATTTTCATAATGCTAATAGGTATAAAAAATTTCGTATGTGTTTAGAAATTGGTACTTTATATTGTACTGATATATGTATCCAGCACATCTAAACATTTAAAATACAAGATATCGTGGATATGTAACATAAGGTAACAATTTATAATGTACTCTAACGAACGATCCCGTATGACAACAATGCCGAACTTATTCCATTTCCCAATCCTGTAAAATCCCAATTTCCAAACAAACAGACAGCCATGCAAACATTTTGTTGTTTTTCTTTTCTATTATAACCTGTGAGAATTTGTATAAATTTTCCCCACATAGAGAAATTGAATTTTCCTATTACATTTCAAATACGTTTTCAAACTTTGTCCTTTTTTCCTATTGTTTATAACCAAACACAAATACAATGCATGCAGACAAACTGAATTTATATGCAGGGATCTGTGTATATTTGAATCTGTATGTCTGTGTTATGTGAAGTGCCCTTTGTCTTTCTATGCCTCTATATATTTGCATGCATCTATATATGTATATGAATGATTATGTGTGTGTGTGCATTTGTTTAGTTTGTTTTGTTTTTTGTCATTGTAGCTCTTTGGAAACATTCCAAATTCCATTTGTTGCCGGTGAAAAGGATCTGGTGGTTTTAATTTGCAATTCAGATGTGCGGCATGAGTTATCCGACAGTGAATATCCAACAAGGCGCAAACAATGCTTAGAGGCACTCAAGTTAATGGGACTAAAGAGCTATAGACATGCAACAGAAGGCAACTTGTCAGGTAATTAATGCTTATGTTATTATATATACTCGTACTACTACTACCTCGTATACTGGTTGCTGGTCTGCCATATTTTCTCTGCATCCCTTGGAGCCCAAAATACACATATGCATGTATGACGTTGTGTTCTCGTGAAGGTATGACCAAACGATTACCTCTAGTCATGGGAGTCAATGGCTGATTATTCATCTAAATATGTCTGAGCTTCGTTGCTCACCTAATTGTGTGTATGTGAGTGTGTGTGTGTGTGATGTTTGCTTAGGATTTCAGCATCGCCACCGCCATATATTTGGCGGCTTCATTATCTCCAAGCACATTAACATAATTTCAGTGTTCCACTTGCTACGCAAGATGAATATTTTTGCCGTGTGGCCATTTTCCAAGTACTTCTGCTGCCGCTGCTGATTCCACTGACGATGATGATTATGGAGAGAGATAATAAAGACAATTCGGCTTGCCAAAAACTGTTAAAGCATCTTTTGCACGTAAGGTGCCAAACAAATATGGCTTTGACAAACATTTGGAATCAGTCATGAGGAGAGAAAAAAATAGCGAACAACAGCGAAGCCACTTCCTATTTCCTAACGATAATAACAAAGGAAAATAATGTTTGTACTTTTTTGTGTGCTATGAGGAAGGAAATGTGAACATTTTGGCACTAACTGCAAATATCTAATTAAAATCTTTGGATTTCAGCATTATTTTTGTAGCCGTCGCGTATTGTAGAGGATTAAAGATTTGGTTAATTTATGTCGTGCGCCCAGACAAAATGATAATTTTGAGATTTAGATAGGAAACGGTTTAATAATATGTAGCGTTATATAGATAATATAAAATAAACGACACCGATTTTGCGACATATCCGTTATAACGACAATTTCAATATGTCCCCGAAAAAGTGTCATTTATTTCATATGGTTTATAACGATCAATTTCGCCGGTCCCTTGACCGTACTTATAAACGATTTCGACTGTATATTCCTAAATTCGTACGACAAAAACACTGAAGGAATTGAAGGGAACTACACATTTTTTCCATTAGCATTGATATACGGAGAAGTTGTTTGGAAATTCAAACTTATATTTTTGAAGACGGAGTAGGAATATACGACTTATCTATTATATAAATAATTTATGGTTGTATGATAACACCGTTATAAAACTAATTTTCGAAGTGACCCAGAAAAACCAAAGGTATTTTCGTGGTCCAGGGACTCCAACTAAACAGAATTGGTACATTAGAACCCCGTGTCGCACAGCTTAATTGTTTTTTTTTAATTGAATTCGGTCAAAGCTTTTTAAAATTTAAAGACGAACCATATGTATATTGTTTTACAATTAGGAATAAAAGTCGTAGTTAAAGAGCATAGAGGCATTGAACGAAAATTTAATCTATACTAATTAAAGAGTAAAGTGATTGACTGATTGACTGATTTAACGATTCATCAACGCCCAGACGAAACGGCTGAAGCTAGAATCTTGAAATTATGGGTGAGGGTCACCCTTGGTCCAAAGGTGACAGATAAGGCTGGGTTTTTGGAAATTCGTACTAGAACGGTACGAAAAGTACTAAAAAGTACTAAATGTGATAACATTTGGCGAACCGGTGGAGCTAGTACTCTGAAATGTGGTTTGGTGGTCGTTGATGGAGTGTAGGATAGATGTACCAAAGGGTTTTTGGAAATTCGAACTATAACTATCCGAAAAGTACGAAAATGTACTAAATTTGGTACAATTCTGTAGCATGTGAACGGATAGCGTTAAAAACTTGAAGTTTGGAGTGTGAATTAAGGTTGAGATGTAGGGTCCATTTAAGAAGATGGTTTTGAATGCGCTTACTCATGTGTACGAAAAGTACTATATGGTACTATATTTGGTAAAAATTTAATCTATACTAATGAAAAAAGTGTAAAGGGATTGACTGACTGATTCATCAACGCCCAGACGAAACGGCTGAAGCTAGAATCTTAAAATTTTGGGTGAGTGTCACCCTTGGTCCAAAGGTGGCAGATAAGGCTGGGTTTTTGGAAATTCGTACTAGAACCATACGAAAAGTACTAAATACTCTACTGGTTCGCCAAATACAAATGATACGTATTTGGCGAACGAGTAGAGCTAGAAATCTGAAATTTGGATTGAGGGTCACTGATGGAGTGTAGAATAGATATAGCAAAGGACTTTTTGGAAATTCGAAATAAAAGTATCGGAAAAGTACTGAAATTTACTAAATTTGGTACAATTTCGTAGCCTGTGAATGGATTGAGCTAAAAACATGAAATTTGGAATGCAAATTAAGGTTGAGAATTAGGGTCGATATGAGGGGAGTTTGGAAAGCGTGTACTCATGTGTACGAAAGGTACTATATGGTACTATATTTGGTACAAATTTGATTTGGAGGTACAAATCGAACTGGAATCCTGGAATTTGAAATTAAAATTACCTTCGGATTGTAGGATTGGGATATGAACGTAGTTTTGGAAATTTGTTACTTATGTTTACGAAAAGTACTAAATCGTACTATAATCGGTACAGTTTGGATTTGGGTGATCCTATAGAGCGGGAACAATGAAATTTGGAGTCAGGATCACTGTAGGGGTGTGGAATTGGAGTCAGGATTCAGTTAGGTGAACCAATAGAGCTAGAATCATGAAATTTGGAGCCAGGATCTCTGTTGAGGTGTAAGATTGAGATATGGAGGAAGTTTTAGAAATTTGTACTAATGTGTACTAAATTTGGTACAATTTGAATTGTGAGTGAACCGATAAAGTTTCAGGGTTGGGGTATGTAGGAAGTTTTAGAAATTTTTACTAAGTGTACTAAATTTGGTACAATTTAAATTGTGGGTGAAGCGATAGATTTGGAATCCTGAAATTATGATTTAGTATCACTGTGGAGGCGTAGGTTTGGGGTATATAGGAGGGTTTAGAAATTGGTACCATCAGCTTGGTCTTCTCGCCGTTTTTTCTTTTTCAATTTGTTCAAAGGTGGCTGTTACCGCTCGCAATGTTCGACCCATTATATCGATGTCATCGGCGTAGGCGAGTAACATGTGTTGTTTGGTGTACAGAGTGCCATTTCTGTTCACATTTGCGTCTCGTATGACCTTTTTCAGCGGGATGTTAAAAAGATCACACGACAAACTGTCACCTTGTCTGAATCCTCGTTTGGTATTGAAGGGCTCCGATAGGTCCATTTCTACTTTAACTGCTGACCTTGTGCCACTTAAAATCATCCTGCATAGCCGTATTAATTTTGCAGGAATGCCGAACGCAGACATGGCTTTAAACACCTCTAAACGGATAGGGCTGTCAACAATAGGCAATTAAAAAAAAAAAAATCAAAGTTCCGCCATTTTGTTAATTGTTGTACGAAGTCAATAATCCTAGTTCATACGAGAGCCAGACATCTACTATATGTGTAATGTTACAAACCTTAACATGCATTGGTATTCATTTACCAGCCCAGTGAGAATCTTGAAAATTTAAAATCGAGAATAGGGGAAGTACCCTTAAGTCCAGAATGATGTGTGTTAAGTTTCGTGAAAATCAGTTCCGATTTGGATATAGCACCTATATATACTTTCTTCCGAATTTAAGTAAGTGATGCACCAAGGACCCAAAAATATGTCCGAAAGGCATAAAACGTACTGAAATTAGTATTACCTCAACTGTGACAAGTTTCGTTGCAATCGCTTAGCTCCCATATATAGTAGTATCCGATTTTAAGTAAATGGTGCATCAAAGACCCGATGGACACAAAATTTTGCAAAGCGTGTTAAAGTTAGTGTAGTCCAACGTGTGTCATATTTAATTGGAATCGGTTCAGATTTAGATATAGCTCCTATATACATTTTCTTCCTATTTCCTAAATGAAACACGAAGGTCCCAAAATATGGCCGATATGCACAAAATGTGCTGAAATTAGTATGAACTAACATGTGACAAGTTTCGTTGAAATCGGTTTAGATATAGGTTCCATTAATATTTTCGTCCGATTTTAAGTAAATGGTGCCCCAAATTCCTCATTTTTGTCAGTATAGACTGACGTAATTGTTTTTTGTATAAATGTAGAAATGCAGACATCCTTCAATCGATTTACATAATTTTGTCTCATGCTCTATCAGGCATGTCACAGATTCCGATCGGAATGGTTTCAATTCCGTAATTGCATTTCGATCGGTTTTGTTTTAGCTTATTTACGTTCCGATCGATTTTATGAATTCCAAAAACTGAAACGAATCGCTTTGCTTAGTTGAAATATGGCAACATTGCTATAACCAAATCAAAACCATATGATTAACCAGTGAGCGGAGCAGTATAGTCGGACAGGCCGACTATATAATACCCTACACAACTTCCACGACAATCGAACTTTCGGTGGCACTGCATTCTGAGCTTGGGCAATACTTCGCGATATTTGCACCCTCATGACCGACAAGAGGTCAACAAATATTATTATTAATATTCAGTACAGGCCTTCTAATTACTTGTCCAGATTTTCTTCACCGTGGGTTGTGTTGTAATTTTCGATCGACTCGAAAAAAACATAGAAAATTAAGTTTTCGGTCCACTTTATCCCAATATAATTATTTGATCAGCACCGAAAATTGTAGGCGTGGTCCTTGGCCCTACCTGGATCCTCATAGAAAATTTCAAAGCGATCGGCGCTATATTTTCGCCCTCTACTATGGTAATGGGTTACTAAATAATATATGAATACGTAAGCACCTAAAACATTAACGTGTAACTCCCACATCCGAGTACATACGACAATATAATTGGTATCAATTTGAAGGCAAACGACTCCTCTTGGATATACTATTAACTTATCATGTCTATGCTCTTCAGGGGTAAATATATTCACTATAGAATACAAATTTTGTCATTTTTCACACAAAAGTTAGGGTCCATTTGACCCGCTAAATATTTACCAATCTTTATCAAAACAGGAATTCTTATTCTTTGGCCAGTTCCCCTTCTTCGTGTGAAAATGTTTGGGCC